ATTAAGGAGTTAGTTAAAGGTTGGTATACTATTGATTTGAGTTTTATTACGATCGAGGTGTGACAAATTACTATATCTTTGCAATCCTCCTAAGGTGTTAAATTATGTCATTTTTATTGATGTACGTAATTGTTAACTATAATAGTATCTTTATTATATAAGTTAATTCAAGATTTACTGTAATCTTTGGATTCTTCTTCTCATTCTTTATCCTTTTCCTTTAAATATTTGAATTGTGAACGGAATCCTTGTTATTTTCTTTTATTCCTTGATTATAGTTTCCAAATTTTTCTATACTGTTTTCATACATTTCTGTAATTAATTTTGTATAATATATTCTGACGATCTATAACTATATTCGTTTTGTTTTTCTAAACAGACTTGATTGTTGGTATTATAAAAAGTCCCATGGACCAGGTACTATACCAGTTATACTTATGTATTTGTGACTATAATTCATAATCTTCTTTGCGATATCAACAATATCCAAGATAATAGGTTGATTATCATAAATTTCACATATTGTTTTCGGTTCTTATCTAACTCTTTGAAATCTATGACTAAATAATTTGCAAATTTTAAGCTGTTTAGAAACAACTCACCTTTGGCTTCATATTTTAAAAATTCAGTATCGGACACCATTTCATCATTTATCGGGTAGCTTTTTTAATTTTGCTTTATTTACTCTTCAGAATATTTCGCAAAGAAAATAACAAAATTTTCCAAGCCTGGTAAGAATGCAGAATATAAGATTACCAAATAAGCGTCTGGAAGAAGATAGTAGTTGTGCTACACATAAGGTTGTTAATTCGTATGGATTGTAGTTTGCCTTTGAGTTCGGTTGAAACATATCAGTGAGAAAATTCCATGAATCCGAGTCATCTTATAAATTTGAATATCAAGATGGTAATGTATTTATACTCGATATGTGCTCAACCCCACGTGGACGAGCTGTTGAAGCCTGCAATATTTCTTTGGTCTTCCCAATAATGGTTTCAATATACTTAATAGACCAAACCAATAAAGATTTCTAATGCAATAGGTAAGAGAATCCAACTTGCTTGATATTTAGTTTTTTATGGATTTTTTAATTTACCACATTTATTTCATAGACCACCATCCATTTACAAATGGAGGTATCATTGGCTGCGGTCAAGATTTTTCATTTTGGTCGGTCAAATTTGCTAAGCGGCCCAATGGTAAATCTTGACCAAATGGCCAAAGGCCAACACTACGTTACATATCAACCAAGTGAAATTTACGTTCCAATACTTTAAATTCCTGGACCCAACAGACGATGACGTATTTATTTTGGTGTATTTTAATTATTTCTGTTTTATATTGCAATTTTCTGATAATTATATGGTTCATGTAGGGAAATCATCACGCAAGAATTATTTGTGAGATTGCGATGGGTCAAAGTTCCGTGATCTGACGAACAAGTGTC